CAACTGAAAAATAGCTTTTGGTCATTCTGGTAAGGGAAAGTATATCGGGCAGCATCTTGAAAGGGTTTGAGCCTTAAAAGGGATTGAGTGCCACAATTCGATGAGAGGTCGATGAGGCCTATTTGAACATCGGGAGCATCATGCTCCAGATTTTATGCTTTCGCTGAGTGCTGTCGTGAGTTTCTCACCGGCGAGTTGCCAAATAAGGAGGATTATTGCTTGTTAAACATCATGTTGACAGCCTAACTCACCTTGCTAATATTCAGCTTTCTATCTTCCCAAATTCACCAAGCACAAACCTGACATGGAAACCAGAGCGGATACCTGGTGGTTTCAGCTTGCCACTTGCTCCAAATGACCTCTATGTTGGGTACAACCAAAGTGCAGCTCAGTTCACAATCCATGGGCACCAGCCACACACACCTCTCCTCCATGGGCATTAGCATGAAGCATCCAGCAACCACTCATGACCTTGTTGGTCTCTCTAATGCACTGGCAGGTTGCTTTGAATTTGAATTGCACAGTGCGCTGGCAACTATAATTGAAAGGCTGCAGTCAGGACACTTTGTGTGCATGAACAGGGACCCAACTTACAGACTGAACTATGCTGTATCTCAGGGCTATTGCCTTGCTCTCTTAGCGTTCATTCATTTAGTGTCTACCTGCATGCTCACTGCATCCATACCCTGCCGTGCCTTGCTGTGCCAATTAGCACAATCGTATTACGAGGCTGCTTGCCTTGCTGGTCAGCAGTGCTCAGTAATGAAGGGGATGGATATCTTGTTGTGTGGCAGTGTGCTCCATCAATCTCACATTGCATCCTGTGCCAGTAGCTTCTGTGGCAGATCCACTATGTCGTGCAGCAAGCAGGCAGCTGTGTCTCAAAGTCTCAGGGGAGTCATCCTCAGCACAGTCAATGGAGGCACTGGTCAGACAAGCAGTCCTAGCACAGTAAGTCAAGGGCAGGCTCCAATACCAGACCAGTCAATTGGGTACAGTCGTCCGTCCGGTCGAGGCGTTCTCAGTCAGGGGTCCACGCCTCTGCAGTTCGGGGAGTGAGTCACAGTCAGTCCCACGGTTCCATAGCAGTCAACTCAAGCAGCAAGACTAATGCAACGGTGGAAATGTACATCTACCAGTCAGGGGTCTGGGTGCTTGTCATCTGAGGATGATGGGTGTGTGGGCCATACTCAGTCTGTTAGCTCCAGCTTCAGAAATTAAGAGGCAAAGGGGATTTGTGGAGTAAAGGGTGGGGGGCATGGCAGCAAGAGCAGCCATTGCCATGGGAATTAGACTTTGCAAGTTAGTCTTTAGGACTGGAGGCTGAAGATGGAGGTGGGGGTTTGGGGAAGATGACAGGTGTGAATGGGGACAATCGTTTCTGTAAAAAAGGGGATAATGGCAAAGCATGAATAGGAATGGGGTAATGCAGGAGAGAGTTCATGTTGATGGGTTGGGTGGGGGCCTAAGGAGGTGTGCAATTTATAGGCTTTACACAAAGAGGATTTGGATGTTTGGAAGCTCACCAACAGAGTCAGGCTGAGACTGTCACCTTCCATTGTGCTGAAAATCAAAAAGTGCACAGGAGGAAGAGTACACGTATGTGCAGGCGGGGTAAGTGACTCAGGCTGTGAGAAAGGAAGCTGTAGCACCCACCGATAATACAGCTTTTAAAGGGAAAGAACATTGCACACAGACCCATTTACTATACAGGACTGAGGCCCCCAGAGTCCCTATTCCCTGGACATCCTAATGAACCCCGCCACACACACACACGCATACATATACACATACACATACATACATACACACACACACACACACACACACACGCACACACTGTATGTGGAGGGCCGAAGGTGTCACCACAGCCATATAAATTCATTGTTCATCTTGCTTTCAGAAAGCAGTCAACATGGACCTCTGTCCACGGACCATTGTGTGTGGACATGAATTGGTGCTTGACGGTGTAACAATGACATCGGGGCTACACGGTGAGACAAACATCCAGATGTCAGGTCATTCAGTGCTATTTATAAATAAGTGCAAAATCAAGCACAGCACAGTGGCACTGCCCTGGTGTATAGGCCTCTGACCCTGGAGCTTTGGCAGGGCGATCCTAGGGAAATGGAGTCTGGATGAGCCAAATGTGCCAAAAGTAAGTTGACACTCCTCAGCAGGAATTTCCAAGGGTTGGAATAGGTAGGCAGGATGGAGATAGCAGGCCCGTCCCCCCTGGTGTGTACTGATTGGAAACCTCTGAGGCAACTGTGTGTGGCTCCTCCTCCAGCTAGATGCCTCCTGGCACTGCCATGTCTCCTTGTGGAGACAATTGGAGTACGTGCCATCTTCCCCATGCTCGGTCACCATTCCTTCAATTGAGGGGGAGGCGATGCCCAGTGATGTTATCGCTAGACTGTTAATCCAGTGATCCAGGTAATGTTCCGGGGACCTGGGTTCAAAACCCACCGTGGCAGATGGTGGAATTTGAATTTGATAAAAATCTGGAAATACGTATCTAATGATAACCATGAATCCATTGTTGATTGTTGTAAAAACCCATCTGGTTCACTAATGTCCTTTAGGAAGGGAAACTGCCATCCTTACATGTGATTCCGAACCTTGAGATTTAACTGCTCTCTGGGCAAGGGATAGGCAATGCCATCTAGCAATGCCCTCATTCATGAATGAATAAAACAAAACCTGAGGACCAATGTATAGTCGTGTGCACATCTCCAGCAACCCCTGAAGGTGCTAGACCTGGCTGTCCATGACAACTACCAACCTGTCAAAGGAGGCAACCAGGTGGTCACATGACATGCTGCACTGTCTGTTCTGTTCCACCCTGTGCATTTGAAAAAATCCCTGTTTGCCACAGGTTCCTCTGCTGCCTAGGACTGAGCAGGTGCCTGGTATCTGCCAGTCCTCCAAATGCCAGCAGTCTGGGGCATTTCTTCCTCCGCCAGCTGAGGAGCTGTCACAGTGAGGTGCCCAGCAGATTGTGGTCCCATACCGTCTGAGTCTAATGTTCCCACCAAAGTGCCAATATCTGAGCTGGTGGAGGACACAGTTGGCAGCCTTGCCAATGCTTCCTCTGAGATCTTGGCACTGTTGTCCCCAGACATCCAAGAGGTTTCTGGTGCAGCCAGTAGTTTCACCATGGACGTGGTAGAGATGCTGGAAATACCTGCAAGACAAAAGAGAGAGAAAAGTGTCATGAGCAGTGGTTAGACGTAGTGTGTGATGAATGAGACTGACAGAGAGTTGCAGTGGAATCAGGAGCGGTACTTACACGATTTGTGGGGCATGGATATCTCAGCATCTCTGTGGCAGCAGTCCCGATCTTCTGCAAGTGTCAGTATTCTCTCCTTGTAAGGGGTGAGGAGTCTAATGTCAGGCACCTTTCCACTTGTACAGGCTTTTTCTTCACTGTCTGGGCTGTCTACAGCTGTCATGAAAGAAAGGGATGGATTGAGTGGGATGAAAATGGGTGGCATGGCTGTGGCTGCTGGTGCACAGGGGTGAAAGGTGGTGAGATGTTCCAAGGGAGAGAGGAGGCAGTGCAGAGGCCTTGCAGGGTTGGGGATAGTGAGAGGGATTGAGGGAAGACATTGCAGATGATAATGACAGTGGCACAGCATAACCCTCAGTTGGAGGTTGTTGCAGTAGTGGAGATAGTGATTGTGAGATAACAAAAGAAAATGTTGCATTTACCTCGGCACAGTGGAGGAGGTTATTGATTGACTGTCTTCTGGCACTGCTGGCTATTTCTCCACACCATGAATACAGTGCGACCCAGGTGGTGACCTTGGGCCGGGCTGGCATGGTCTGGTGGTGCAGCCTCCTCTGCTGCTCCTCCTCTCCTCTGCACCACCCCCTCGACCAGGACCTCTCATTCCCCGTTTGGAGAATCGTAATGGTATTGTCCTTCTCTCTGACATGTTCACACCCTGTTCTTCAGCAGAGGGGACAGCTTTGAGTCGTTGTGCTTTCGAAGGTGCCCAACGGCCTTTAAAAGCTGAGCACAAGCCCATGGGAAACAATGCGTGGTAAGATGGGGCTAGGATCAGATGTGAGAGATGCCATAAAGCGCAGTAGGTAGTTACTGAGTGAATTTGTTAAGATACACTGAGAATACAAGCTAGGCCTCAAGGTGAAAATACTCGAAAAACTCAGACTTGACCAAAAACCATAAGATACAGCCCACTGTTTCTGAAATATTTCTAAATCCTGGCTGTTTTGTAACTAGCTGTCTGCAACCTATGGAGGGAGATTTTTTAGATTAATTTAACCCACTTTTCTTTGATACGTTGGGTTCATAGTGCTATGATCCAAATCTCTCTCCAGTTGAGGGGGGGGCGGTACTTGGACTCCCACAGTAATGGGAGGTCAACTGTATGCTCTGTGATAGAACTCAAATGTGCACCAATCCCATGTGCCACTGAGCTGTTGGCATCTACATGTCACCACAACTCGCATTGGTCTGTTTCAGAACAGGTTAATTCCGGAAGTAGAAGTGAGGTCTCCTTTCATCAACTGGGTTGTAAATAAATACTCCAACCTGCGAGTCCCTCTAGTGGGACAATTTATATTGACCTGAAAGAAGTGTATTATGCTGAAGGGATGAAAGGGACGCTGACTGGATTAATGGTGTTTGGCAAATCATCCGTCGCCACAGCAAGACAAGGTGAGAAAATGTGAACATTCTTGTCGTCTCCTTGAAAGCTCAGGTGACATGATGATGTTCAATGTAGCATGCATCAGTATGTTAGGTATAACTATTTGATTGCAATTACCCCTGTACCGCCTCAATTTATCCAGACACTTCCACCTCAAACCTTTGAGGATTGTGGTACCACAACAAACAGCCCTGGAACTGATGTACACAGTGTAGAATCAGTTACACCCAGGTTTTCAGGATCACCCATTCAGCTGTCATCAGAACCATGCTTTGGGGGAATCTAAGTGCAAGAGATACCCAGAGCTGCTGTCAGATCAATGTTGCAATAGTTGAGGCCTGACACTGAAACTGGAACAATACAAAGAAGATTAGCATGGCCCCTGTTCAAGTATGACACATGAAGCCATGTGGTGTTCCATTAAAAAAATACAAACCAAAAGGTTGCTTGTGCCAGAACAGGACATGCTTAATATAAGCCAACTAAATTTGTCTGTGTCTCTTTCAGATATCGATGAATGCAGCATGAACCATGGTGGCTGCAAGCACGGCTGTGTTAATACACTGGGAAGCTATCAATGCTCTTGTCCCAGCAGTGGTTACAAATTGCACTGGAATAAGAAAGACTGTGTGGGTATGTGAGGAACTCAGATCTCTGGCATCCCCTAGTGGTACTAATGGAGGTAGCAATCCTGTAATATCATCTTAATCAGAAATACTTGATTGTGACAATCATAGGTCACCTAATGTGTCTCAGCAAATCTCCATCGCTTCAGAAATAAATAATTAATCTGGGATGTCATTACTGTTTTTATATAGATTATTTTCAAATAGTTTGAACACAAACAGTGTATTTTCTTTTTAGAAGGGAGTTTGTTTTATTCAGGATGGGAACATCAAAAAAACTGACAGCAAGATTATCTTGGGGGGGGTCACTTGCCCCCGAGCCAACTTGACACTGGAGATAAAGTTTGATTGAGACAGAGGGGGCAAACCAAAAAGGAAGGGATGGTCACCTACATTCTGTTCTTCAGGGGCATAGCTCACTGCACCTGATACATCAAGTCAAACATTACAATGAAATCCCAATCTGGTCACTTTACTCAGTTGCTTCATATATTTAATGTATTGCTTGTCATTTAGCAACATGGACAGCCTGCATTTACGTACTGCCTTGAAGGCATTTGATAGAGCACTATCAGATAAGATTGAGCACTGAGCCACCCGATTCGAGAACAGGTGACCAGGAGCTTGGGAAAATAGTGGTTTTTGAGGAGTTTCTTAAAGGAGGATCAAGGCTGAGAAATTTAGGAAACTCAAAGATTTCAGTAGTTATTACACTTGCTCCTTACAGCAAATCGAGTTTACATTCCATTTGTTTTCTTCATGCTGCCATCTATCCAGTTTTGGACCAGCCATTTTTCAAATTCTTGCTCCAGAAATATCTAAGATTAAAACAGGCGTGATTGTTTGATTGTTCTTTGTAAATAAAATATGTTTTTTAATATTTCCTTCTGTGTCTATGACTTAGAAGCATTACTTATTGAGACGATTGAAGGTTTTAATAAGTTTCATCAATGGTAAAACAAGTGCCAATATTGGCATAGACTAGGACAAACTAATTGTTTTATATGTATCTCTTTAATCACTCTAATCACTTGGTTGGATGGTTTAAGGAAAATTAATCACAAATGCTATGCACACAGTGAATGTTTGGGCCTGGTTTTGCCTGAATTGTGCAGCAATATATTAAAGAATATGGAACTTTTTCTTAGGTATCATCTTCCGATTGGAAGCATTCCTTAGATCAGTCTATCTGTCCAATTCTTGCTACCTTTAATCTGTTCCCTCTCAGAGAAATGTCACTTCCAGTGTGTTATTCTTATAATGCTTTACTGTTTATACTGCTCAAGGAACTGAACTGATGATGACTGTGATGGTGTCAAAGAGTTAGCTCTTAGGGAGAAAGGACAAAGATGTTCCCACTCCCTGTGAGATAATTTCTTACACAGATCATCTGCACTAGGTCAGATTCTGCATTGTATCATCATTTTCCACTGTAATTTCAGTCCAAGATTGTTGAGGGTCTTTACGCCTGGCATCTCATTGAACAACAGTTTAAAAACATCTGCACATTACAACCTTGATACCTCCTCCCTTGGGGGATTCAGGACAAAGTACCTTTTAGCAGCAGTTGCCCCCAGTTTGGGCCGTAAATATAGCTGCAGTAGAATATTTATAAAGATAGAACATCCAGAGGCAGGAACCAGCTGCTGATGTCTTTTCCTTTCAGCAGTCAATGGTGCAAGTCTCTGGCCCATAAGACATGAACTCTTCTCATAGCGTCATTCAGCACAGGAACAGAACCCTCAGTGCGACCAGTCCATGATGAACATAATCCCAAATTAAACTACCCACCTGCCTGCTCCTGGCCCATATCCCTCCAAACCTTTCCTATCATGGACTTATCTAAGTGTCTTTTAAATGTTGTAACTGTACCCACATCCACCACTTCCTCAGGAAGTTCATTCCACATGTGAACCACCCTGTGTGTAAAAAATTTGCGCCTCCTGTCTTATTTAAATTTCTCTCCTCTCACCTTAAAAATATGCCCCCGAGTCTTGAAATCCCTCATCCCAGAGAAGAGGTACCATTAACCCTATCTATACCCCTCATGATTTTAAATACATCGATAAGGTCACCCCTCAAACTCCTACGCTCCAGTGAAAAAACTCCCAGCCTATTCCGTCTTTCTTTACTACTCAAACCTTCCATACCTGGCAACATTCTGGTAAATCTCTTCTGAACCTTCTCTAGCTTAATAATATCCTTCCTATAACAGGGCGACCAGAACTGTATTCCAGAAGAGGCCTCACCAATGCCGTGTACAACCTCAACATGACTTCCCAACTCCTATACTCAAAGGACTGAGCAATGAAGACAAGCATGCTAAAAGCCTTTTTAACCACCCTGTCTATATGTAATGCAAACTTCAATGAATTATGTACCTGAACCCCTACATCTCTCTGTTCTATAACAATACCAAAGGCCCTATCATTAATTGTATAAGTCCTAGTTCAAACAGATTTTATTTTCTGAGGAGTTTACAAATCAAGTTTTGAAATGCCTTTGTGCCCAATGGGTTCACTAATAGCCAGGCATCATTAATTTCAGTCCATTCAATTATGGCCACATTTCAAGTGAGCTGGCCATCCAGATCGTTGTTGGGAAAAAAAATAAAATGAAGCAAAGGAGCAACTTGCGCTTCATCTATAATCGGGCCTCTGTATTCCTCAGCAAAGTTCAAATAGAACCTTTTAAGTCTTTTCTGAAAAATGCTGGCCTCATCAGAATCCAGGGGTTGGGTGCAAAAGACTGTATGGAAATATTGTGTTAGCTTAATTTGTTGGACTCTTTGGATCTTGCAGGAAATTAGAATGGGCTCAGTTGTAGCTCTGTTCTGTGTTGACCTCTCACAATGCAGTAAACATTGTATTTGATATTTTACCTAAGCTTCCCAGTGAGAAACTAACAGGTTTAGATCAGACACCCACCTGATTTTACATTCTTCAATCTGGTCAGTTTGATTTAAGATTAATCCCCTGCCCCCATGTTTCGAGTTTAAACATTTTCCAGCTATTTCATAGTTTATCAGGATGTGTGACATTGATTTCTTTGAATTTTCAGAGGCAGCAAAGTGCTTGCCGGGTTCCAACTCTCCCCGAGCACAACTTTCCTGCGTCAAGAGTGGGAAGAGAGAAACCTGCTCACTCAGCTGTGCCTCCAAGGCTCACTTCCAGGCAGGTAGGCCTCATTGCAAAGACAGGAGAAACCCACATCCTGTTCAGCATTCTCGGCTCAACACAAGGCCACTGGTTGTCCTTCCTTACCGGTGGAATTTGGGTTGTCAATCCTCCAGATTGTTCCTCAAGTCTTCAGGAATTGAAATCTAAATTTCTGGATGCTGCTAAGGGCAGTCCAGGGAGAAAGTACATCAAGGCATTAAAAAGTTGTTTTCTTTCCCATTTTCTTTGGAAACTTTTGTTTGTTAGTTAAATATGTATTGAACGTGAAAAACTGTTTAACTGACTGCCATGATTTCTAACTTGGATATTGAGGAGCCATCTTCTTCCTGAGTTTTTCTTCTGAAGGTAGGTGTTTGGTGATTATTTGTCAAAATACAGCAAATTTTTACTATGGCTTGGGTGAGGAGGCTGCTTCCAATGTTACCGTTGTACTCAGGTCTGAAAGGGTTAATAGTTGCCTGAGTGTAGTAAGCTTTGATGATGCCATGAGGACTGAAGCAAAGGGTCACAAAGGATCTTGAAGGAGTCAGACCTAAGACCAGGTCACAATCTCTGTAATAACATATACCAAAAGCTTGTAAAAGTAAGTAGTTGCAGAGATACAATAAACTTTATCATGTTTGCTATGAGAGACTCTTATAGTGAGACCAGTAGTTGGCTATCCTTACCTACACTAGGCCACATGGACCCTGGAGAAATGTATATCTAGAAGATACTGATGAGAGCACAAACAACAGGCTGACTAGTGGTAGTGATCTGAATGGGATCTGACAATGAATCTGCCTCTTCATACAGAGCAGTGAACAGCATTATGAAGGTCATTGGTAGAGATCTGTGGAAGTGATCTTGGGTTCTGAATTCATCCAGTGTGTGAACATGGTCAGAGACTGTGGGAGTCAAACCAAAAAGATCCTGTGTCAAAGGGAAAACATTAGATGATGCAGTGATTCAGACTCAAAGGACACAAATTTTAAAAATAAGTTGCAGTTCAGATTGGGTGTCATCGCTGTAGCATGGATTCTGTGAGGGACACCTAACAAGACCACGACATAAACCCCTACTCAAGGGGTCTGCAAACAAAGCTTACTCAGTTAGCACACCACAGTCAACACGCCACAGTCAACTTGGCAATACACAATGAACAGGACGTCCACAGTGCTCAGTCTGCCCTTATATCCATCATAAACAGCACCTGTGAGTATGCTGTGGCTTCCTTCAAAGGGAAGCACCAAGGCAGGTTTGACAAGAACGACGAAGAGATCCAAGAGCTAATAAATTGCAAATGCAAGGTAATCTTTAACTGGAAGCACCAACAAATCTTGAAGGAAAGAAAACAGGTCTACAGACAAATGAAGGCCAGGTCCAACATAAATATGTGACCCAAAAGAAAGAATGTTGGGTGGAAAAAGGGCAAGAAACTCAGCATCTGGTCAACAGCCTTGACCACCTATGACCCAAATGAGAGCTTACCCCATTAAGAGCTAAGAATGGACTGGAGCTCGTTGAGGACAGACAGGCAGTTAGCACTTATTGGAAGGAGTACTTCAAGGATCTCCTCAACAGAGGCTCAGTCCTCAATGTGGGTGCCTTCGTCACATCCCACAGCATGCTACCCGCCACCA